GTTTAAATACACAATCCTAGTAATCTCCTATGGAAATAATTTTCTTATAACACACCGCATTTTGAAACGATCCATAGTGTTTATTTTTATACATAAGGGAAGATCTAAGGCGTACGCTGACGTCATGAATTCTATAAGTCATTGCGAAAGTACGTAATCGTGTGTTGCAGGTCTGCATGGAAGCTCCATTTATAGTAATCATAGAAAATATTACCTCAACATAAAAGACGTTATAGGTAAAGCGGGTCCATATCCATATGCAAAAACCTTATTCTGTTTTCGCATTGTAAGATGAAGGTTAAAACAGCTTGCTCGATGTTGATTTATGGTGAAGGCGAAGCTGCAATGGATTTCCCAAATATCCCGTACCGAACCGAGGAAAAAGTTGATAATACCGTTCGAAGGCTCATATAGAGAGATGCACGATTTTCAAGCATATGGCACGCAAACACGACTTTATGGTAGAGGGCCAAAACGATACCCGCGTACTCGAAGACGTATAACTAATAAATAATCGATCTTTCTTTCGTAAGTCGCCGTTAATTAAAGTAAAACGAGACACAACGGAGTGTTTCAGTTTTACAGGGAGTGAACGAATAAGAATGCATGGAACGTTTCCCCCGGAAAAGTTCAGAGCCCAAACTGTAGTCCCATTTGAGTTTTAGTAAGTAGCTTCTATTGTACTCAGCTTTAAAACGCCATGTTGTGGAGCAGGAGTTCATTTTCGTTTTAGTCGCTAGAGTAAACGCATTTCAGGTGATCCTTTGGTGTCTCTAAGCGCGACGAGCGTATTGCAGACATTTATTCATTCGCTATTTCAGACGACTGAAGGCTGTTGGAGCGGTAAAATCTTCTCTACTAAGACGTATTCGAATTACCTTGTTGACGTCACGGTTAACTTCAAAGGGTGGAATGACGCCCGCCGAACGTTTTTTAGAAAGGAAAGAAAGCAACGAGAAACATAATCAGGCAAATTTTACAGAAAGGTTAACCTGGACAAACTTGCGCAAAAAAATAGATTCCATCTGCTAGGCGAAGCATTAAAGCTTCCCTTAAAACTGTTTCAATTACGGTAAGCAATGGCTCATGGACGACGATAAGTTAACGCATAACGGTTTCCTGCTATACGAAAGCATGTTTGATAACATCCGAAACTCTCCTCGATCATTTCCGCGAACCGTCTAAAATCGCCGTCTGCGCTGTGTTCGACCGATACAGACCTTGGCTCACTCATAATCTATTTGCAAAGAAATCTGGCTGGTAAAAGCCAAACAAGGCATTGCCATTAAACAGGTCCCATCTGGCCTCGTGGAATATCTGGCCCGTTAGCGCGGGGTAGCTATTGCATAACCTATTTAATGTGCGCAATTAATGATACAAAGTAAGTAGGGTGCAAGTGGCCTTACAGAAACCAAAGTTTTTTCTTCAAACTAGTAAAAATACCGTCAATTACTTTTTTTCTACTATATTCAAGTAAATTATATGATTATTGTAATGTTTATATTATCTATAGTAAGCTTTTTTATATAGTAAAGTTTGAAAATGCATGGTCACCAAAGCACTGGATATAACAGTCAATGCAAATAGAGATGGCGTTCTGTTGGCAAGTGGGCAAGCGGTATCCATAATTTACGTGAATTGTGCAGATGGTAGAGGAAGCATTTGCGGTGTCTCCCTATTGCCTTCAATGTTACCAACCGGCCAGCTTCTTTTTCCTTTTTTTTCTACGCGTTTCGACTAGACCAAGGTCAATTAACGCTAACAATGTCGATCTCGTTGCAGACGGATACGCTACTTGCTGATAACCGGTGACCTGCCAGAGTTCTAATGATTACGAGAGATGGGCGACCGCTCCAAAGACCGGCGAGAGCGGCCAAAGCGACACCAGTCACGCTGACGACAAATTCAAATTGACGATAGTGAGTTGTACGCTAGTTCATGCCTCATTGCCGCTCGGAAGGAGCGTAAGACAATGGAAATGGCAATAGCAGGAACAAGGCTAATATGGCAATGACGAAAGCGCCCAGATCGGCACAACGTCACATGCTGTTCCGCCATGATACACTTACGATAATTTTACTGCACGCTAACCAGCCACTAAAGCGTAAATCTCACTATACTGTATAATTTACTGTATTTATAATTATCCTTATACGAAAATCAAATATTATATACTGCAATGCTGTAAACAATTGAATTTACTATTTCTTTAGTATACTTTACAGAAGCAGTAGCAAAAAATTGCCATTACTTAATGATCTTGTTCATTCTGCTACATACGGAGGTGTCTCACAAACACTTGGGACGTTTATTTGTCCGGTTATAGTTAATCTGAAATAATAAGGCGGTGTATATAAATATCACATTTTCGGAAAAATTCACTGTAGTTTACGTGTAATAAAATAAACAAAGTGCAATTGGCGGAAAGCAAGAAAAACGTGGTAACGCCACGGAATGATTACAAGATCACAAAACACTGGGAACAATTAACAGCAAAACGTAGGGGGCATAGATCGGGCAACATTTTACACTAATATCGAAAATTTATTTTGTACAAGCGAATGAATGAATGAATTCGTTTGAGTTTACGTTAGCAATACAGGTCAGGTCAGGTCAGGTCAGGTCAGCATTTTCACAACAATTTCAACAAGAGAACGGACTCTCTACAATAGAGTAAACGAAATTGGTATTGTAGGGCCAGAAGTTAACTAAAGATAACTGTACTAAGATAATAAAGATAAAGGAATAAGCGCAACGGCGCTCCAGAAAAAAAACAAGAGCTACTATCAGAACAGGCAGACAAAATAAATGCAACAAAACATCGGCGAACTTACAATCATTGAAACTGAAGGAGAAACAAGAATCAAAAACCAGATACGAACGATAGTTTTAGGTTAGACGAAGGTTCGCTGTGATGCCAGCATTTACACCGGTTGACTTCTAACTACAGCCGGGTTTCTGAGAAACTGCTATGTGAGAGCTATATGCAGAATGTGTAGTGGTCGGTTAAAGTAATCAACTAGACGTCCACCCAACTTGTAGATCACTGTTTTTTTTTTTTCTCGGACTTTACGAAATGTTTGCAGTTACTAGATCTCTCTAGATTCATCTGATGATTATTACCTTCCTCTTACATACATTCTACGTATGAAAATTCACACAGTGTCTCTGTAGGGAAAAATATTTAGTACTTTCACCTTTCCGGCACTTTTTATGTTAGTCAACAATTCGAAATCTCGATTTCGAAGTTGTACAGGTCAGACTCGCCTACCTGCTTAACTAACCCGCCTCTGTATTCAGGTTATAGAACGCTCCGTCACTTTTTCACAGTTATGATGACTGCTGCTTGAGTTACCAATTGTCTTACTGCCAGTTGGAAGCACACGGTTTAGGCCTACTAACAAGGGTGGCTAAACCTATAGAATGCAGGCTGCCTGTCGTTCAAGCGATAGGCAAAAAGAACAGTTAGGAAAAGTCTTTTGCAATACAATAACGTTATAAATCGCGTTGTTTGTAAGTGCAATAAAGATAACAGTGAAGTTAAATACTGGACACAAGTGACCGTCTGTTTAATCCAGTCAAATTGTATTGATAGTTATAATCAAATAACGGGCATTGTCAGCGCTGCTGAGATACATATCCTGAATATAGTGATAATCCACTTCCCTTGACGCAATGGAGATGGATTTAACCTAAGTTAAGTAACATGGTTTATTAGTAGCCTGGTTGACGCGGAAACTAGGTAAAGTTGAAGTAGAAATAGCCTGGCTACTTCTACTTCAATACGTGCATTAATATTTCACTAAATGAAACATCGTTGTTGGAGTTGCTATTTGTTTTTTTTCTTCTGCACTTATTACATTTGTTTCGCGTGGAAATTTTTTTGGCGATGTTTTTAGTACACGCAAGATGAACAAGGACGATTGTTCGTGACGTTTGAGGCAAAGTTAGAATAATAAGCAATGGAAAGTTGTGATTAAAATTTGGCTATCGTCACAAGCAGAATACATTTTTTTTTTCAGGTAGGATTGATAAATAGGATTCCCGTTTCAATTCCTGTTACACACCTTGAAAAGTCTAAGAGTTCAGTCAGTTCTCTCTGTTTAGCTGAGATATTATTCAAAACTCGTGAGCGTAAAATTTGGGCAGACATATCCATTCGATTCAAGCGTTTCGTTCAGTCTTCGAATTTATGAAATACTATACTCATTTAATATTCGACGCGATGAAAATGAATCTAATATAGATACCGTAAAAAGTTTCACTAAAAAATGGCCAAACGATTTAGCAATATTAATCTTAATAACAACAATGAGATAAAATTCCCTACAAGCACTTTAGTTTAAATTTAAAAAAAATCTTTGTCCTTATAGCATGGACGCATTTTCTTTATAGCACAACTTTTAAAACAAGCCAGAAAATAACGCCATTATTCTGTCGTTGTGATCACCGCCAAAGCAGCATTAAATAGCGTCAGCTTCATATTTACGCGTAAGTCTCGCGACGTGTCGATTGCATCGTCTATCGGAACCGCGGTGCAGCCCGAATCAACCGAGGATTTCTTTATCAAGTCGAATCGAGTAGAGCTTCCCTTTCTAGTTCGCGGACTCCCAGCGGACGGTGTTTCTGCGCGACGCATCTGTCTACTAACATGTAACGTCTTTTCTCTTCGTGTGTATTTGCTTTCCCTCTCTCTTTGCCTGCTGAAAGTGTCCGCCACAGATCATCGAAACGCACAGTCGACGTGTCTCCGCCACACCCGACCTCACACGAGACACACGCACTCACATACACACACAGTTATCTATTTATAATACATGATTCATCTGTTTTCTTCGTCGTCGCCGCCGCCGCCGCCGCCGCCGTCGTCGTCGACGACGTCGCCGTCGCCGTCGCGTCGGGTTGGGCATCACCTCAAGCTGATGATGCGCCCTCTAGCGTCGACCACGACAACTACGGCGGCGGTATTGGTAACACCACTGGTTACGACGTCGATGCAGTCTTCGTGAAACTCGCGAGTGGACCAGAGACGGAGTTGTTTGTGAGTTTAAAGCAAAGACATCTAGCATAGATCTAGATCGCCAAGCGGCAAGATGGAAGCCTCAATCGTTCTCGGTGAGTGAGTCCTTAATAACCTACAAATCTATCTAGCACGACGTACGGAGGAGTGCCTCTATAAATTCTTGAAATACTAGCTAAGCATGTGTAATTGATGCCTCGTAAAACATTCGAAGTGAACACATATTCATTGTTCTGAAACAGCTCATTGATTGATCAATGGTTATTTATGATGTGACTGTTAGGACGATGATTGCTCCACATATAATCGTTTGTATTATTGACGCTTAGAAGCAAGCGTATTGGCTTATTGCTAAACGTATCGTCATCGTGGTTGGACATCGTAGGCAGATTTTGTAAAACCCAATTGGAGCAATGAGGTAAAGATTTAAAACCAGAGGACGTAGGTAATACTCACACATTGGTCTACAGTGGTCTACGTTACAATGACGCCACATGAGGGCGTTGGCTGCTACTCGTTTGACCCCTCTGCTTCTATTGGCTACGGCAACGGTGATAATGGCGATAAAGTTGCGTGTGCCACGAAGCCCATTCGATTATATCCACATTGGGCCTCGTATCAATGATTGTATCTGCAAATTCTAACTTTTTTATCGCATGAATGCTTACGATCAAACTAGATCTATAAAGAGGAATAAGGGTCTGTCAGTGAATTTTGTGCTATTTCTAAACAGGTACTATATTGAACCATTGTATTGTTACTTATTACTTCTTTTAATTCGTGTAATACTTATTCGTTTTCGTTAGTGATTTTTGTCCCTGTGCCGCTTACGGATTTTCCATATAATTTCATTTTTAATGTTGTATCCGGTGTGGACCTGAGTGTTTTTTTCCTGTTGCCAAGTTCATCAGAGAATATCAGATAATTTACCTGTTCCCTAACGTAAACAAATTTTAATTACAATAGTCTATATTATAGACGCTCTCCCAACACCACCGGCCCTAGCTAATATACGCTGGGTTTCATTCGACAAAAAAACTCAATAAAACATTCCTTCCATGACGCTGCCACTGGAAACAACGGCAATTAGGCGTCGTTTTCGGCATGTGCAATGCTAACTGTCATCAGTGGCCCTTGATTCCCTTTGTTTAATCACATGTGGAATACGTGCGTTCTGCAGACAGATAGGTGATCTGTATTCCGTCACTTTTTTCCTTATTCTATTTTTTTAATGTGCTGATGTTGTTCTAGCGTTCAGTGTCCCATTTAACTATTTATAGCGCCCCTTGATGCCTGGTGCTTGCGGCCTCAACGGTCCACTGCTCATTCCCTTCGTAGGTGCCTGCTTTGAGGACCGTCACTGTCAGATCAGCTCCTGAAAATGGCCGGCTTTCTAATGTACGCTGAGTCAATCCCTCGCGCCCTGATCAAGCACGTTGTGTAAATTACGCAACAGTCGCAGCTGCTACCGACCAAAGCGTTCCTGCGCGATCAGTTAGCTCTGTGACTATTAACGTTCTAGGTCAATATTGATAGCCACGAAGGGGCGGGACGCACCCGCAACTAATTAAGTGGCGGATGGAAGGTACCAATTATTATTATGACAAATTAACCAAAAACTTTTCATATATTTGAGTCTTGATAATTCATTTTAACTAGATTAATCACATTTCGAGCTGTCTAGACAAATCTAGGCATTTAGGAGGCGTTTCAAACGAAATCCATTATGGATTTTGTTGATTACCTTCTATCGATGTTGTGTAGAACTGTTCGTATTTCTATATATTTCTACAACAAACTTGTCAGTAAGCAGAGCCTGATAGCTCTATGAGTCTGCAAATTACGAGGTATAAATACTGATTAGAATTGGATGGCTTAACAGATACCCAGGGTAGTATGAGATCAATTAAGCGCGGTAACACTTCATTGTGGTCGAGCTTCAAGCCATATATTTATACTGACCGTTGTCAATTTTGTTGGAACGTGCTTTTAGACTACTCAGCGGCAACCTTAACGCATGTATCGAACAATTTATTATAAACCAAGAAGCCTGCTTTCAGGACTCGAAAGCTGAGCCTTAGGCGCCAGAGAACTGCTTGTCTCCTTTAAACCACTACGCTTCATTCTGTTAATTCAGCATTCCTTAGACATATATACATCGCCTATTTTAGATGAGCTCATTCTTGTGGTCACCGAGGGACACTAGGAAACGGCCCTTTTTGAAATTATTTGCGTTTAAATCGAGTGCGATCAATAGGTGCCTAAATAACGAAAATATATGGCACATGTTCATGTGAATATTTGAATATCGGTAAATCTACATTTAATACTTACATAGTACGCTTGATCATACGATAATTTCTCAATTTTGTTGCGCTAATTCCCTATAGTATTCTAGGATCGCACAGGTGAAACGTTCAGGACCACCTATCTGCTCTTATAATTCAGCTTTTAATTTAACTTTGCACAATAGTTGTGGTCTAGAAAATAAAAATGGATGCCAGCTGGGCCTAATCAATCTTTGAATCGGCCCTTCGTAATGGTACGAATGAGTACGTGACTCAATGTATACCCCATGAATCACATTTATCATTTAATGAATTGGCATAATTTTCGACTAAACAAAAAATCTTTCGGGCCTGATCACTTGATTCGCATTATTAACACCACGCCTATTAGTGCAACTATTGCGGGATTTCTGATTCAAGCTTTTCTAAACCATATTTTCAATTTATTGGAAAAATTCGATGAAATCAGTTGTCCTACTGTTAGGTTCTCTTCGTAGGAAGCACAACACATACGATTGCCAACCTATTGCCATGACCGCAAGTATCTATTTCAACGTATGCATTGTGCAGATGTATAATTTGAGAGGGATCAGGGGTTGCTCTTTCCAGACCTGCTGACGACCGCATAATTGTTAGACAATTTTTCCAAATAAACAAACTGATTTCTTATATAAATCTTTTATCATAATACGTCTACAGGGTATTGTCTAGCTTGTTGTACAACTGAAACTTCCAGAAGATGAGACCCGCCCTTGAATTAATATGTGTTTCGTTAGTTTTCTCAGCTACCTCATTCTGTAGGAATACTTTAGACAATTCCGTTCTATCCAATGCTTAATCTTTCAAATATCTTCCGTTACTAGCAGAGGTCCGTCACTTGAATGTGCTGCTGGAAAAAACAACTTTCTTCATTTTTAACGATTCTTCTGATTTAAAAAGTTTCTGGTGGTGAAAGCGGTAGCAATTCATCCTGCATCGTTCCTTCGATCGAACAAGCGTGTCAGGTCTCTGCGGCTGTGTGGCCTTGTGCGTGTCTGTGTTCTCCTTTGTTTGCCACGATTGCAGGCGCGAAAAAGACTGGAAAGCAATAGAAAAACGTAGTTCAGCACATTCTAAATGAAAATTCGTGACCAATCACTTAATAATGTGGGTGCATGCGACAATGAATAGTGGTAAATGACTACCACTATCTGCAAGCAAATTCTGATCGTGTTCAGGTGTTCGATGCTGCTGCTGTGCGTTCGGCAGGGCAATGATATATCGAATATATCCACTCGTAAACCGAAACTGAAAAAGAAACAACGTAAAACCTTTTGTGTGTACAGCCAGCAAAAACAAATCGATCACAAACATAGTGATGTCATCATAATAATGTATGTAGTACGTTTATGCGTGGACAATAACGTTATCAACAGAGAAGGCATTATTCTGCATTTCGAGTGCATTGTTTTCTGTTTGCCTATATCACGAACCATGTTCTTGCATTCAAGGTCTAATCCGAGATTACTTTTAAGAGATTTTTACGTGACCGATTGATCTTGCCAAGCATACGCTATCATATGTTTTTGTTCATGTGTAAGACTGCCAATCTGATACGAGATGGCTTCAAACGTATAACACTTCAGCAAACTTCGATTGCTGAAGTGTTATTGGGCAATCGGCAGCGGAGAAATTCGGAACGTATCAGAGCGTAAAACTCATATGAAAAGTGACATGTGATCGTGAACGGACTGTTCATTAGGTTCAACTCGATATCTATCTAATAGTATAGATTTAGATTTATCTGCAATAGGGAAACGAGGTGCCTATATATTATTTTAAGTGCTGAGGCACTCGTGCATCTCTTGGGGCGAGCAGAGTATGTAACTGCCCCACAAATGGCAAATCACCTCTAACCGCTGGAAGTAGTGTGGCATGAAGTGCAAGCTTAATACCTATTTTTCTACTTTTTTTGTTTATCGATTTTCATATGCTCGTACTACAGACATTCCGATGGCCTTTCTAAATGGTCGTTCTGGAAGTGGGCTGGATCTTCAATAGTTTTACAAACAGGATGCCGTCACCTGCATTACCTGTAATCGCGTTGATCGTGATGGACAATTAATAAATGTAGCACCATGTTTTAAAGCTTAACTATGTGGAAGGTCAGGGGCAATAGATATTGTTATTTTAATCGATGACTACTATAATCGCTTTAGGCTACTGGAACATCCGCGGATTGGCTCAGCCGATCCGTAACCTTCTCGAATATACCGATGAGAAGTACGAGGATCGTATCTATGACTTTGATACGTCGGACATGACCAACAAAATTAAGGTTTGTGCATATGTTTCCCAACTCATAACATTACACATTTGTCATAATCGTAGCTAGCTATAATTGCCAAGGAGTGACTATTTAATAACATGTATTTTTGTACTTTGTGCGATTAGTTCAACTAAAAGAACGATTTTAGGGCCGAAAAAGCATTGCTTGGTTTAGTACTAATTAGCTAATATTAATGATCCATAGACCTTCAGTCAATCGCAATGATACAGTAACCATTAATAGTAACTATTCATTAATAATTTCGTTTTTGTTGGTATCATATCACGTCAGATGCAAGGTAAATGGCCGGAGGTGAAGGCGAATTGTGCAACAATTATTGGTGGAGAAGGCGAAGCTGCGATGGATTTCCCTAACCTGCCATACCTTATCGAGAAGCAGGCTGATGGCACAACACTCAAGATGACTCAGAGCAACGCCATTCTCAAGCACTTCGCTCGCAAGCACGACCTCGTCGTCAAGGGTGAAAATAATATTGCCCGCATGGAAATGCTCGAAGAACAAGTTATGGACCTCAAGTAAGTTGACGGAACTTTTTGGCAGGGATGAAAAACTTCCCGTTGGCCTCACTTCTAATGTTTGGCCTGCAATAATATAGCATAATCTATCTAACTTACTAGAAATTCAGTTCAACTAGAATAGAAAAGGGAGTTGGCGGAGGAGATTTGTTCAATTGTTTTCAATCAATCGACCGGGTGATATCCATTCTTGGAAGTAACTAGGTAAAAGAGAGGAACAAAAACGTTGCATTTTAATATTCAATAACCCCAACCAATATTTTGGAGCAAATCTTATACGCAACGCCGTTTTTCGTATTTACAGGCAAGCGATCATCGGATACTGCTATGATAATTCAATAGTGGCTTTGCGTTACCCCAACTACACTGAGGACATTCAACCCATTTTAAAACGGTGGGAAAAGGTAAACTGTATGACTCTACCACAGGTATACAATGTGCAACCTGAAAGTCATGAAACACTAGAAGCATAGGTTCATCTATTGTCGCCCGGTTGAATTGTTGCCCGGGCGTAGCCAGACAGAATCATTTACAGTTATTACCAGTACGTTGTTGGAGATCTATGTGTGTCTTTGTGGAAGATATAAAAAAGTTTACTTTGGTATACGGGGTTCCTCTTATTGTATCCTTTCTATTGCTTCCAAAGGGTAAGCTTGTGAGTCAACTATGTATCGTTAAGAGCCATTACTATATTACTTTTAGTTAAGTTTTAGATTAGATTTTAACGGTTCCAGTGTTTCCAACACATACCAGGTACTCGAGAGTAAGCAGTGGGTGATGGGCGACAAGCTAACTTATGTCGATTTCCTGTTGTACGAGTTCCTCGATTGGCATATACCACTGAAGGCCGACATCTTTGACGGAATGCCAAGCCTCAAGGCATTCCTTGAGCGCTTCCGGGCTCTACCGAGGATTGCTGCGTACTTCGAATCGGACCGCTACCATGCGTGGCCACTCACTAGCCCCTTTGCCAAAACATTCGGTTACTTCAAGTAATGCAGAGCACGACAATCAATGGTGTAGGAGTACACAGTAGGAGAGAATATGGCATAACGTAAACAATAACGTGCTGTCTTGATAATAATAGCTTTTTCAAGCGGCATTATAATTTCAATATTTGCATGTTATACTGGCCTACAAAAGCCTAATTGTAACTGTGCGTCACAAATACCTATAAAGTTTACACCTATAAAATTATTGAGAACCGTTAGGATTCAAGGATAGATCTTCTAGGACAACCGGTTAAATGAAATAATCTGCCATATTCTTTAAAGAAGCTCGATGTATAAACCACCGACTCTTATAACTTTAGCGTCGCAGATGAGTTCTATTCGATGCACGCGATCGACGATTGCCGTTCTTTTAACTTGGGTAACGTGACAACAAAGGTATCTAACACAGAGAAAACGCATGAAAAATAAACGAGCGCATCTCATCTACACCAATATCGAATTTGGATGATCATTCTAGATAGCTCGATTCTAATCACCATAATTAACAAAAAAATCACAATGAGTTAATATTTTGTCTGTATATATCTAAGCGTTGTGCCAGCTAGATTAACCATCGACTTGATTGATCAAGGTATAGTTATTTGTGTCTTGGGCAAGTCCGTTGGAGCTTGTTGCATACTATCGCAAATTAGCGGTCCTGTACATAGTCAAGGAATAATCAACATGTATAATAGAAATAGCTTACCAAGTTTCGGGCTTTAACCGCGCAAACAATATAGGAATTCGATATATATATATATATACGTACATCACTAGTATGCAAAATGTTTCTTTATCTTCAACGAGTGTTTAGAGCGATTCCTCTACGCTCTTGCATCCATTGCTGAACACTACGGGTTTCCACCCGTTCATCACTAGCTATTAGAATTAGCCTGTTCGCTATGAACATGCGGCTAGCTACATACATAGCTACATATGTGATCTTTGTTTGAAGTTGGTAGCTTCACCTCATCACCAGTCGACTTTGTCAGTAATATCGAAGTAGAAGCGTTGGAGCAATGTTAGCGGTCTATCGACCAGCACGTGACTGTTGCCCCCAGTAACCCTTCGATACCTTTTAATGGGGCAAATAGGGCTGGTTGGAGCACTTCAAAGGGACTTGCTTCAGTGCTTCCCTTAGTGAATGCCCGGATGCTGATCCTACAGAATCGAAGACTTATAGACTGGCCACTATGGTGGCCGGTTTGCGTAGGGCCGGGAGCAGCCCTAATCGCCGGTCCTACCACCGGCAAACTACCCTTTCGTCTCCTCCTTTACGGCTATCTCCCTCATTCCTTTAGATAATTGCCTCCCCTATTCGTGCGCCCCTTTGCCCAGTTCTATTACCTTCCCTTTAAGCCCAAACTTGTGCGGGTGTGAAGCGGTTATTTAATGAGACCAGCCCCACATAGGCTCGAGTAGCCTTACACGCAGCCGTGCCAATAGAAGTCCAGTCTGTAATTTTTGATAGTAGTTTGAACAGATGTATATATATATATATATATATATATATATAGCAGATAAACGTGGTAATCGGCGGTAACCTTCGGCCACCGGACGTCGTTGTACCCGCCTTACGACGAGCCCGTTATCAGCGATATTTCAGCAAGTGAAGCCTAAACATCATAAGAAAAGGAGATGCATTAAAAGCCGAGTGCAAAATGTAACTGTAACTAGCACTTAATCCTGACCTCGATGCCCGACTTGATTGCCCCTTATAATCGGCATTGCAGAGATAGTGAACTAGATCGAGTCGTTTGAACAGAGTCTTCAGTTTGACGAGCTTAACGGTTTGCCGCTTAGAAGACTTTTCGGAGTACTGCTACAAATAAACAACATTTCATTTTTAATATTATACAAGCCTCTGATCAAACTGTTAGGACGCTAATTATCCTCTATGTGTCATAAAAAAGTGAGTTCAGTAAAACGGTGATGTTCCAGAGATTCGTTCCAGACGTTTCTGGAAAGTTATGACTGCTGGAAAGGGATTAATCGACCCAAACTGCGATTTCGTAATATCCGTTCGAAAAAATCTGAGTCATCAAAATACAGTCACTTTACAGAACGTAAGCAATGCAGATTTTAAGCGGTAAGCGCATGCGCAGTTACGTGTGCTTGACTTCTTCCTCTATGAGCCAGGTCCATTCTAGGCATTAAAAGCGAAGATTTGCAGTTTTATGGGTTGCTTTGCACTCTGAAAAGAGCCCAGACCTTTAGGGATGCTTCACTATCAAATATAATAGGTACGTGTTCGCGTTTCGAGAATGACCAGTGGTCAATACGACGATTGAAGCAGTCCGCCTCTGTCAGTGAATTGCGAATCTTGTAATAGCATAGAACGCGGATGGAAGCGACGCCGTTCAGATGCATTTTGGCAGCAGCTTCACCCGGTGCATTTGTATGCGCCGGTTTTATTATTATTATTACCCTGTTTTATCTAGAATAGCATGTCAGGATATATCTAGGCCTCTCTATGCCGATAGAGTGAATGAAGGGCACACACACCATACGTAATGACAAACCAGCCCATAGCGTTCCAGTTTTCAATAGAGCTAACACAAAACGAAACGAATCAGATTTTTGCGAGCTTAACGAAAATTTAAATTGATTTTTGTATAAAACGTAATGTTTTTGTTTTATTTATCGAGCTAAGCGATGTTGGTTGTTTGCATGTAAGCTGATTAATAAACTATCGCCAACAACGTATATGCTGAATCTAACTAAAAATACTCGGTCCCCAGTCATTCAAAGACGTATAATGTCCAGGTTAAGCCTGCAATGAGCGACAAACCCACAAATAGCTGAGTTCGCATTGAGCTGAAAGCTTTTTATTTGTATACAGTAGTGAAGGGTTATCTCCCTTTTTAGGTCATTTTACAAGCTGGTTTGATGCAGCCATGTACACGAGACAGCTGGATGTAAAGGCCCAACCTCTCAGCAGCGAAATGTCGAGTTGAAAAAGCATTCGCCAGAGCGGACAAACGCCTCAGTAAATAGCTATAGAGTGGCACGCGCCAGCGCCACGTGACACCAGGGGGCTTTCAACAACATCGGTAACCCCCCCCCCCCTTCGAAGTCTTCTTTCCCCCAAAGCAGCTAAGGGACAGTCAAGTAGATCACCCAGAGGCGACTTACGGTAGCAAAATTCGACTGGCTTTTCTGTGTAAGTGTACCTCTCGCCTGAGGGTATTATACAGCGACGAGAAAACCCAGTACTGCACGCGTACTTTGCATTGCAACTGTCTACAAAGTCGGTACAGGCTTATGGCATCTATTGTCTAGCAACTCTGAAACCAGAGAGATGGACTTAAGAATACTTAGGCCATCCAGAGCTCCAGAAGTCCAAATGCATTCTCGTCAAAACTCGTCAAAAAAACGGGGTAGGTTTTATGTTTTTAGCTTACGTGTCCATTAGTCACAGAGAAAATAGTTGGCTATAATAAAACTATTTATTTATAAACTAAGGCTATTTTATTCGGGATTATAGTTTACATATACAGTGAGCGTTCTCAGTAACTTTAACATCCCATGTTTAACGTATGACGTCTTGTAAATCGTAGATTATTATCGTAAATATCACAAAGCGAACAGCGCAAGGCGAACGAAACCGAAATAGTATCTTTTGTATCACTAACCGCTTATGTATTATTTAAAGGACATGATTCCAACATCAAGTTCGAGTGTTAAAAGTAAAAAAACGCTAACTTGTTGTAATCATAATGTTGATGCAGGAAGCATGTAAGGGGGAAGATCTAAACTTAACGATTTGTCTTGTTCAAGTAGCAGTCAAGATGAACAGCAGTTAGTAAATATACAAAGAAATTAAAATTTCGTTTAACCGATCTCCGATTTGTTCTATGAAGTTCTTTCGTTCAGACTTCACTCGAAATTCTATCGGCCAGTGAGCCTTACAAGACGAGGTAGTGATTGTACAGATAACCCTGACGACTCCAATTTTTCCTTACCCATGGTTTCCAGTTCTTTTTAGCCTGAATTACGGGCCTGCTAACTAGAGCCACGGTCTTGAGACTAGATGTATCTAAAAGATCGACCATCCTTTCCATTAGCCTTTCGTTCAAATGTATATATATCAGTTCGCAAAACTTGGCGCGCTTTTTAATCCTCTTAGAAAAACGCTTTTAAGATGATCCTCAATATATCACGCTGTAACGAAGTTCTTGGTGTCAATATATAATAATAAATACTATAGAACGTACTTCAACATAGAGGTCAAATAGAGGTTTGTTTTAAATAGTTTCGTTTTCTTGGTATTTCTGACTTATGAAAAAACATCATTTCATAAATTGACCCGCAGATATATCCAGTTGTCTGTTTTCAGTATAACTTAATTATGAATTCATTGATGCGCCAACGATGAGGCTTCGTGTTTGTACAAAGATTGAACAACGTTCTATTTTCCTCTTCAAATATAAGTAATTCTATTGAAGATACATTCAAGATGTTATGACTTGAACTAGAGAGAACATCAACTTACAATCTAATGTGAACATAAGAGATGTAAAGTGTGGAAACCTTAATCGTGATGTGTGACGAAACACAGTATGTTCGGATACTGCTGGAGCAAAGCGTGCTGGTGGAAGTTGATCTGGATATTGCTTTGAGAACCGGGGTCAGAATGAGATCGCATCTGACCATAATTATCATAGGCCGAGCAGCGACCTTCAAGTCTTCCTCCAGTAGCTGAGACCATTCAGCCGTTAAGAATACGAGATGTCTAGAAGAACAATGAGCATAATTTTAATAATATATGTAAAGGTATTTTAGCTGAAATGGATTAAAAAAACTACTAGGTTCATCAGCGGCTATCGAACTATATCCCAGAAAGATAAAAAATGTTCATGTATACATATTGCTTCCCTTTGAGAAAAAAGGTGGCGTATAGCTTAGTAAAATATTAGCCAAAACTTTTAATTCGCTGAGAATGTATCAATTATGTACCCGTAGAATGCATGCAGGTTTTGCGACGCCCGCGAACATCTAAATTACAAACCTGGCGCCACAACTTGGTTGGATAAGTTTGGGCGTCGTTAATGACATCCTTGTGTATTGTTTTCTTTGCTTCTTCCACTTAACCTGCCGTTTACATGTCGTGCTTTTGGCACGTGCTTTCGAGCTTCGACGGGCTGTGGCGGCTACGACGATCGTCCTTCCTTCATTCTGCGCTTCAAAGCCTCTGACGGAAGACAAAAGTTTGAACGGCGTAGGTTCTGCACTCTTCGGCACGCGCGAATGTTGGTGAAACGTCGTAGAGAGGGCGTGAAAGCGTTAAAATTAAAATATCAGTTTTCACCACCCGCCGTCGGGATCAGCTGGAAGAGGGCCGTTAGCCGTTATTATGAACCAACGGGTATGATCGGGGTGTAAGCACGGCGGATTGGTAATATTCTT